CAGGGAAAGTCTTCAATCAATGAACCCATGCTACCTAAAGAATGGAGATCATAAAGGATCCCTCTCCTCTCTTTGTGCCTAATTTCCCAGGCAAATTTTCATGCCTCCTTAGCTTTCTCTTTGCAAGAAATATTCCTTTTCTTATATCACTGCAGGAAAACTCCAGGGGAGTATCCTCAGGACCAAGCACACTGTGATCTCCTCATTCTCCTCAGGACCAGGCCCACTGTAATCCCCTCATTCTCCTCAGGACGAGGCACACTATGATCTCCTCTCTCTCCTCAGGACCAGGCTCACTGTAATCTCCTCTCTCTCCTCAGGACCAGGCACACTATGATCTCCTCTCTCTCCTCAGGACCAGGCTCACTGTAATCTCCTCTCTCTCCTCAGGACCAGGCTCACTGTAATCTCCTCTCTCTCCTCAGGACCAGGCACACTATGATCTCCTCCTCACTCTCCTCGGTTGGCAGGGATTGTGAGAAGCATCTGACTCAGTTGGGGACTTTTTTCACCTTCTGGGACTCTGATTACTCTGTTGGTAGCTTCATTGCCCCTTTGCTTCTCAGTAACGGATGTGGTAAACAGGGGTTACTTTAGACCCTCCCCACAAAACCCCTAGTACCATCTCATCTAGGGTAGGCCCTATAGCCAGGCCTAAGCCCTAAAACTTCCTCTCACTGACAAAGGGCATCCTAAGAGAGGAGATGGTGTCCTGTTCTCAGCCTGAGCTCAACTTCCCCAGACTACTTACGCTTTTAGTGAATTGATGTGGTAAGTGATGGAGAGACTCGTGGAATGCTTTTTCTCTTCCCTTAACAGACGATCATCCATTAGCTCATGACGCACCTGTCCGGGAATGCAACTGCATGTTACTTTGCGTTCAAATGAGGAACGAGAGATGCATTCAGATTTTGTGCCTACATATTTTTATTTCCTCTATAAAATTAATGTTTGTAATTAAGACAAATTCTCACTAAGTTTTACACATTTTTAGATATGATTTATGCTGATTCTTATACATCAAAATTAGAAGGTTGTAGACACATTGGGGACACAGTGCTATAGCAATTACTTGTATTTCACAAATTTTCTGTGAATATTTTTTAAAAAATTGATGCTGTAACAAAAGAAATACTTAAACAATAGTAGTGAGAGGACTTTGCTCTTCCCTATGAGATGAACTGCCTGTTTTCTTCATCATTTTTGCTTGTTTTGTTCACATATGTGTATGCTTTTATATTCCTCAACAAATGGATTTATTGAGGCTTCATGCATAGTCTCTGAATGATTGACAGCACCACTCCTTGCCTTTCCTTGTAATGTGTCTGCTTACCATGACTGAGAACATATGCCGGTATTTGTGTGGCGCATGGGTTTTGATGAACGGTGCAGCCGTCAAGCAGAACTTGGCAGCATCCTCATTTTTACCGGCTTGCAGGTAGCAGTCAAGAAGTTCCCTGGACAACAGAAAACAGCAGACATTAGCCTTCTTAGCTGTCTTTTGCTGCAAATCTCTGGGAGTCAGGGTCTTGGCTTTGGCAAACTCTGTGTTTCACAGACTTTTAAAAAGCTTCCCAAGGAAGTGCCCTATACTCGTCAGGACCCATGGCAAGGCCAGCAGGAGTGGAAGAAACTACTGCAGACAGCACGGGATGATTGGCATTTTAATTATCAAGGACATTTTCAGATGGCACTTTGAAGGCAGATCTCATTTACATCAACTTTCTCTTAGAGGTTCCTCCAATTGACCACAAGCAGGGGCCCCAAGACTGTGGTCTAGACTTGGACTGACATCTTTGGTGCTGGGATCTACATTGTCAAAAATCCACTTGGTCTCTTGCCTGTAGAAAGATCCTGACAAAACCTGGGAGATATCACCTCTTGGTCTAGCTGGCACAGTGACCAGGCATTTGCTGATAGTTTATGGCTTCAGAGCAGCGACCTCAGAGCTCCCGTGCTCAGGCACCTGGGAACCCAGATGTGATGCTCATATCGTCATAGCTACTTGCCAAAGTGCCTGCTAACACAAAAACCAAGCAACAGCAACAACAACAAAACCCTACTGCACTAAGGTTTTAAAAACGTGGGCCAGGAAATATGACAGTAGAGTCATATTTCCTCTACTTTGAGACCTGAGGAATCTCTAAGACCTGCTGCAATAGCCACAGATTCTAGAAAGAGCGCCCTGACAAGTCAGGAACCCAGCCCCTTCCTTGGGGGAGAAAGAGGTTCACGATAAGCTTAGGACTTTCCCAGGGCTGTTAAGTTCTATTGCCCCAACTCACATCATCAGCTCTGCCTGCCACTCCTTGTCCTCTTCTTCTGTCTGGTTTAACACGGCGACTATCTGAGAGAGGCTGGGGATCACATATTGGTGATATCCAGGCTTGAGGAATGGCCGTACCATGTTCCAGTAGAGAACAGAAGCATTGAACACCAAGAAGTAATACCTAGGCAGGGAGGGGAAAACAGAATGCTCGAGGCACAGGGCTGGGGGATCCTGATTCCTGGACCGATTCAGAAGGGATGTGGAGGTGTGTCCCATCACCATCAGATACAGGTACTTCATCTGACATACTTCTCTCCAGCCTGCATCAGCACCAGGATGAAGAGCCACCCCGCCCCCCATAGCCCTGTTCCACATGAGCAGTGGCTGTCTCATGGCGGTGATGACATGGTACCTCAGTCATTCCACAAATTAACCACGTCCCATGAAAATTCAGTCATGAGCAAGGAAGGAAAGCTTCCTGGAGGAGATGGCATCCTACCGTGACCAAGAAGTCCAAAACTCAGCCAGGAGCCAAGCGGACAAAAGATAGTCAGACACAGCGTGTTGCAGGTGGAAGTGAGGGACTGAAGGACAAACTCCATGTTCAAGCATAAACCATTGAGGAGGTGAGGAAGGTGTGTGAAGAGGCACTTCCCAAGCATCTCCCTCTGAGGGGCAGGGCAGCATCAGAGGGAGTCATACAGGGAAGCTTCAGGACTTTCTTACCAGAAGCCACTGTCTGGAGTGGGCAGCCCTGCTGTTCTATCACTGATTGGTCAACAGACAGGCCATTGCTGCTCATTACCCAGGAAGGAAGAAGGAAAACCAAGCGAGCAGCAACCAGACCAGTGAGTTGCAGTGACCTGCTCAGCCCAGCTATAACTGTCTCCAAGACCCTTGCAGTGGGTCATGGCCAGGTACCAAAGGCCATATTTGGAAACATTCACTCTACTGAGTTCTCTGGCACAGGGTCAGCTCCTGAACCCTGGAGGGAAGAACTGTGGGGCTGGACCCTGGACCCTTGTACCTGTGCAGTGTGTTCCCTGAGAAGGCTTTCAACAGATGAACAGTGGGCATGGGCAAAATGAATGAAAGTCCCTCTAATGTTGGGTCCCACTGCAGGTGTGCCAATGCCAGTGTATGCTAACTTAACTTTTCAATAGCTGAATTTGGGTTTGGGTGGGAACAAGACAACCACCAGCTAGAAATCTGTGCTAGGGTTTCATAGACTCACAGCTGCAGAGACAAAAAGAGGTGCAGGGGTAAAGGACCACAGTCCAACCAGAGGAATCCCAGAGTGTGCCCTTCTCTCTTCAGAAAGGCTGACCCCCAAAGTCAGGAACAAGGGGTACTGGGGGACAGATTGGGAAGGAGGCCATAGAGAAAACACTTTGACAGCCATCAACAAATCTCAACAAGTCCTGAGCATGGCGAAGGATGCCGCTTCTGGGAAGTCTGCATGAACATGGCTGATTCTCTCAAGTAATAAGACAAGCCTGTGCCATGACTCCATTAAACACAAAACAGAAAGGAGAGGGGCTGGATGGATGACAGCATAAATAAATAACATCACTTGGTACCTTTGGGCACCAAAGTCTTAAGCAATCCAGCAGAAGCAAACAGCTCCCGCATGCCTACCTCGGTTCTCCTTTTGCGAAGTTTATAGCCTTCATGTACTGAGTCACGCAATTCTCAAATTCCTCCTAAAAGAGCCCAAACAAAGGCACAGGTAAGGCGCTTTTGCCACCCAAGCAACCGTCACCATGCCTCTCCACGTCTGTCACCAAATGCAAACTGCTTGGCACCCCAGCTTCTGCACAGAAACCGCAGCTGGCTGTGCCTCGAAGTGCCTGACTCCCGGCTCCTGCCCTGCCCAGCTCAGGGATGCCTGTGATAGAAGACAGAGGCCATAGCACTGCTGCGTGGAGGTGGGAGGTCAGACAGACTCAGGCCAGACACTGGCAAATACTGGGTGGAGAGAAGAGCACAAACGGGAACTCTAACTGTTCGGCATCATTGTAGAGGAAAATTTGGTTCCTCAACTCCATCTTGCTTAAAAGCCACTCTTTAAAAAAAATTTACAAGCATTGGTGTTTTTTTGTTTTGTTTTGGTTTTGGTTTTTTTTTTTTTTTTGTTTTTGCCTTCATGTAGGTCTAGAGGGCATGGGATCCTCTGGAACTGGAGTTACAGAGAGCTGTGAATCACCATGTGGGGGCTGGGAATTGAACCCTGGGTCCTCTGGAAGAGGAGTCAGTGCTCTTAACCGCTGAGCCATCTCTCCAGGCCAAAAGTCACTCTTAAGACCTGACTTGCTGCTATCCTCGGGGGTGGGGTGAAAACAGACTGGGATGTTCTCACCAGGTTTTCCTCTGACTGTGGGGCACAAAGCTGGGCCCTGCACAGGTGTGCTCGACCCAGAAACTGAGTTACTGGCCGCTTCACTTTGAAGTACATCTGGATGCAGTCATCACTCATCTCGGGCTTTCCCATCTGTAGGAGATTGAAACCAGCAAAAGTAAAGCTTGGTCATCCCCATTCGCACAACACTCATCGGTGTCCCCCCCCCACCCTTTTCTGTGCCATTAACACCCCAAAATGTGAGGGGGGGCAGGTCCATTGTGTGCCAGTGCCAGCCAGGCCCGGGGCTCCACCTTGAGTGCCTGCTCCGCACACAGCACGAACAGATCCGGGCTGAAGCTCTCTGAGGGGTCGAACTCCGATTTTCCCAGGTTCGCGGACTTGATCAGCTCATAAGCTCGTCGCAGGGCAGCTGCATCTGTCGGGCAGATCAGCAGAAAGGCCCGGCATGGGTGTGTCAAAAAGACACAGTCCCCGGAAAAACCTTCCTCTGAATTCAGGGGTCTGAATTCCTAGTCAGACTGCCCACAACGCTCCCAACTCAACAATTAGGCCTCAACAACTCCCGCATCACGGGAGGCCTTCTGTGCCACTCTCCTGGGCTCAAGAGACTCCCATTAGCAGAGGTAGGATGAGACCCACCTTGTTGGTTCTGGGCACGGGTCAGTTCCTGCGTGATAACCAGGTCCATGGCGCGTAAGGCCCACAGCCAGACAGCGACAACGCTGCTGTACCAGTAGCGGTTGGTTGCCTAGTGACGGATCCAGACTGAGGACGCGGGAGGTCGGGGCGGGGCTACACTTGGGTGGGGTAAGTGACTCCCGGAGTAGAGAGGGGAAAGAGGCGGGGAAGGAAGCAAGAAGGGGAAGGGGCGGGACTGGCGGACCCCGAGTGCGGCCAGGTCAAGAACTTTTGAGTGTTGAATTGGTACCAACGCCGTGCTTTCCTCAGTTTCTCGCCAGGCTGCGCTCACCTCCCATCCACCCACCCATTCTTCAGGTCCCGCTTTGCTGAGTTAGGGAAAATATGAGTCCTTCTCAAGACCTCCCTGTTATGGGAGAGCACGGGTTGGACGCACGTCCGCAAGGATCTAACAGAGGATGTTTTGAGGAACAGGAAGGAGGGCTGTTGGGTACCAGCGGACAGGGAGGCTGCCAGCCTGGGAAAGAGTCCCTCTTTCTATTTTCAGGTGCCACCTGTGGCAGGTCTACTTGTGACATCGATCTAAGCTTTTAGGGATGTGAGGAGTGAAGACTGAGCAGATCTGCCTGTAGCTGCGGTCTGGGACAGAAGCCCCATTCCAAGGGACCGGAGCAGTCGTGGAGTCAGGAAAGGTGGGAAGACGCCTTCTGTGCTCTAGGACCCTTGGGCGAAGAAGACTCTCAGAGGACTCCCGCTAAGACACAGTAGTCTGGGAGGGCCTAGCTGGGCAGAGCTCCCGACTGTTGTTGGAGCTGTACTTCAGCGAGTAAGAAACAATGGTGGGTGGGCAGCGATGGAGACCCCTGGAGCATCAGGTGAGCAGGTGCATAGGCAAAGACAAAGCTGGCTCTAGAAGACCAAATAAGTATTTAGAACGGAGTGCAGTGCAGAAGGACAAACGCATCCTAGGAAGGAGCCGCAGTCCTCACGGCCACACCTCCAGTGACCTATTTCCTCTAGCCTGGCGCCACCTTCTAAGGAATCCAGAGCCTCTCAAAATAGCGCCACCTGCTGGGACTATGAGTCAGCACATGTGTCCGTGAGACCTTAGCAGGTACAAACGGGCAAACCACAAAGGGAGAAACAGACAAATTTGTCTTCAAAAGCAAAACCTTCTGAACTTTGGAATAGGCTGTTAGGAAAATAAAAAGGTAGAGCACAGGTTGGGAGAGAACATTCGCAGTAAAATCTCAGATACAAGATCAAGAGTCCAACAGATGAATCATAGTAAGTTTAAAAGATGCTAAAAACTTGGATAGACACGCGGCAAAGTGAGATACGTGATTATCCAGCCTGCACAGAATGAGTGCTGACGTTGCCACTAATCAAAAAAGACAGCACCAAGAGATGACTCCCTCATTCAAACCCATTAGTGCAGTTAAAACCAGGAAGCCGGATGATGGAAGCCTGGTGAGGACAAACAGCTACTTTCGCCACACTGCTGGTGGGAATGTAAAGTGACAACCGAGGGGAAACCATTAGTTCCAGGTAAACTGAGGCACGTACTTGTCTGATGACCCAGAAATCCTCCTCCCATGTGCTTGCCCTGAGGGATGGATGCATCTATCCTTTGAAGTTCTGTAGAGAGTATTCATGGCTGCTTTATTCATGATAGCCCGAGGGTAGAAATGACCCAAATAGCCAACGAAAACCTCACTAAGGATGGCCAGTTACACAATGGGCTATTGCTCAGCAATAAGGGAAACAGAGGAGGGGTTGATCTGGGGGAGAAGGTGAAAAGGCTAGAAAGGGGGCAGCAGACCAGAGCCCTGACAGAGACCAGACCTTAGTTTCACTTCACTAGACTGGGACAGAGCTGAGCAAGCGGGTCTCATGAAAACCACAACCTATGGGTGACCATCAGCAAGCACCCCCACAAGCCCTTCTGCTGAATCAGCAGATGCCTCCCCCTTCAGACTTCTGCAGGCTAAAGATAGCTTTTCCTACCCTGCTGCTGGAAGGTCCCTAACCACCGGGACCTTCCACTAGTCAGCCCCAGATTAATCCCTCCTCTCTGGAATCCCCCAAACTCCACTCAAAAGGAGCTTGTGACCTTCTTTGGGGATCGTTTTTTTCCACCCTATGGTTGTTGGTCTTCTTTGGGGGCCTTTGCTCAGACCCTAATAAAGGGAGATTGGGGGGCGGGGACTGGAAGGAACAGAAGGAAGAGAAACTGCAGTAGGGGTATAATATATGAGAGAAGAATAAAAGTTTTTAAAAAATGAACCTTGGTAGGCAACAATACCATGATGAGTTCCGGCAATGTGGAGACAATGGGCCCAGACCCGAGTGTGTGTGTGTGTGTGTGTGTGTGTGTGTGTGTGTGTGTGCATGTGTGGTATATGTATGTTGGTGAACTGTGACAGTTTCAGCTTGAGAGGCTGGAGTCTTACATTCAGACTGACTGTCTGCTAGGATTGATGGTGAAGGTCTTGGTGGTGCACACATGGTACCTGGTCACCAGACCTCAGAGGTTGGGATTGGTCTCTTAGCTGGCAGCATCTTGGTTGATGTTCATGTTCCCTCCATGAAGGAACCAGACAAAACCGGAAGCCAGAGAGGAACCCCACCTGGAAGGAGAGCAGTGGAGCTGGTAATGGGGAATCCTGCCTGGAGGGAGTACAGTGGGACCAGGCGTGGGAAACTCACCTGGAGGGAGTACAGTGGGGCTGGAACTCCCTTGGGCCCTGGGCAGGTCAAGGACTGAGATTTCTATCTATCACAGGGGCTTGCACTGGGAGGCTGGGGCATCTCTAAGGTACTTTCTAGAACTTGAGGATGTCAAGGGTGAAGGTCTGTTGGGGTAGCCACCGAGGTCTGGAGAACACAAACATGATTACAAGATGTGGAGGGGGTTATGTATCATCCGAGCTTTGTCTTTCACAGGACCAACCAGGGAAGAGATTGGAATCCAATACTGAAGTGTGAGCGCTACTGAATACAGGCTTCTTTTGCACCTTTATGAGGCGGGAAAATGCCATGGACCATCTATGTGTGGGTGTATAATAAAGTTGGGTATGGCTGATACAATATTGAAACTTAAATGTCACATTTTCCCAAGGGTCCCAGAGCAGTATTCCACCCTAGAGACAGAAGCCCCAAGTCCCTCTAACTTGACCATCTCTCCATTCCTAAGATTGCACTGTTATGAGTCTTCGCTTATTCATAAAGATTCTCTGCAATGTGTACACTGCTGTAAACATAAAGATATTTACTCCCACCAAGCAACCATCGCTCACGCATTATGAAGCAAGATCTGTTTCCGAATCCAAGCACATCAAATATTAAAACTCATTTCTCTGGCTACATAGTAGCTATAAATATGAAGAATGCGACGCAAACTTTTTTTTCTGACTAGATGTGTCTCATTTTGCCACGGACCACTCAGGTCAGCCTTTGACTCCAAGGGTGTGAGATTGTGGGGTTCTTTGTGTCACCCCTGAAACCCACGTCCCCTTCTTGCAAGTGCCACCCACCGTCCTTTGTCTGCAGAAGTGCTGGAGACAGAGCAGGGACTCCCGGCTGACAGCAGAGACCCTGGAGTCAGGTTCTTCCGAGGCGGGGCCTCCTGGGATTGGGGTCTGCACGTTTTCATTCAAGTTGTTCCTCATACTCCTCTCTGGATCTCAGATGCCCAGGTGCCCATAGCAGGGCGTCTTTAACATCCCTCCAGGCAGTGCTGAGGTCACTATCAAACAGGAAGACAGTAACCAAGCTTTCTGAAATTTCTGTGGAATGTGTTTCCCTCCACCGAGGGGACATGCCCACCTTCTCTAGACACCACTGGGTGTCCCATAAATTAACCTTGTGCCGTATTGAGTTGGCATAGGCTATGGCAGTGTCGCAAGGCTCTCTGCGTCTAAGGAGTGAACCCCAGGAGTTCCCACACAGCCATCTAATGTGATTACAACCCTCCGACTCCTTGAAGATCCAGTATTTTGCCAGAGCTTAATATATTCAAGGAAACAGACACAGACTCTCCTGCCCTTGCCAGCTGGTAAGCAAAACTCCAGAAGGTGGTCACCCAAAGTGCACCTGGAACTCTAGCAATAGCAAGAAAGGGCAGGAGGGACACTGGCTACTCTCGGAAGAATGTGGTGCCACTGCCACCTGAGGGGTCTCCAAAGTTGGGGAGGGAGGGTCTACAGAGAAAAATAACTCCCCCAGGGGGCCACAAAGGTGGCCCCCCGATCCAAAACATTGGCTCTTTTCCTCCTGACACAGCCCATCCAAACTGCCTAAGGTTTGCCTAGCTAACCACTACCTGCACATGTCTCCACTGGTGGGCTGGATCTTATCCCTGACTGCATGTCCCCTGGAGGAAATCGGTGGGTTGCTGGTCTGCATGTCCCACACGAGAAAGAAGCCACCGTGGGGAGCGAGCCCTCTGTTCACTGCAGGCAGCAGCCTGTGGCAGCTTTTTCTGGCTGTGTACTCACTTTGAGAACCACTGAGTCTGCTTTCTGATGGGATGAGAATTCAAGCATGAAGTGTGGGCTTGGGTGACCCTAAGTGGGCACAGTCTGACCAGAGATCTTCAGGAGATGTGCAAATCAGATCCACGGCCTGCTTCAGAGGAGGTCCCGTGTAGGTCGTGATGGGCGTAGAGGGGATGCTCAGCCAGTCAGTGGGTCCTCCAAGCCATCTCCTGTGTGTGCTGAGTGTACATGTACATGTGAGTGAGTTAAAGGCACATATGTGAGTGCGGGATCATGACTGCGAGTTACACATGTGTGTAAATGTGATTGTGTTGATATGTGTGACTGTAGATTTGTGAGTTGTATGTGAGTGTTGAGCAAGTAATGTGTATGAGCACACGTAGGTGAGTGTATACAGTGTGCGATGTAAATGTTCCTGAGTGTGTCTATAAGAGTATGCATATGACCTTCTGCTGGTCCAGGAAGCAGAGGTACAGTCCTTCTACCCTCAGATAATAACAGAGCATGTGTGTGGGACCAGGCTCTGGGTGTTGATCAGAGGACAGACCAAGCCTATACTGCCTGGTTCCTCACCAGAAAGAGGAGGCTGATGGCTTTAAGAAGTGTGGGGAGAACACAGAGCAGGAGAAAATGACAACTTAGCTTCCATCTTCACCTAACTAAAGGAACAACTCCAGAACAGAAAGGATGTTGCCTCCCTCAGCAGAGGCTTCCTGCACTTCCCTGGAGGGCCATGGGAGGGCTCTGTAACCCCACTTTGCAAACAGAATGAAGCATTACAACATCCTGGCAACCCAGCACCCCAGCTACCCTAAAACCCTAACATCCAAATTTCTTCAGCATCCTGGCATCCCCAGGATCTCAGCAGCCACCTTCTAACTTTTCAACATCTCCAGCATTCCAGTGTCTTCTGTATCCACCATCCCAGCGTACAACATTCCCGTCATCCAGTATCCCTAGCACCCAACACCTGGCACCCCAGCATCCTGAGTACCTGGGGTATCTCTAGCACTAGAAACTTCTTGGAACCTCCAGGAAATGCTCCTGTGGCTTCTACCACCTTCTTCATTTCAAACCTGGGTCTTTCTTCATTTACCCTTTTGTCTCTGATATGCCAGCACCCCTTCACAAAGGAATATGTTCAAACAGGCCACAGCAACCGTCTATTGCTCTTCCATTCCAGTCAGTCAGGTGACACACGGGGCACCAGTTAAACACGATATCACGTAATGGATGATATTTTAGTACTGCGCAAGCATATGTAAGGATTCTATGGAAATGCTAAGCGGCTTATTCACCATTTAGCCTGACATTTAGACTTTACTTGGCTTCCTGCGTTTTCGTCTGATAGTGTGCAACTGTCATTCTGTGCTTCTTGCTTCATCTCTGCATCCCCCTGTCACAGCGCGGCTTGGGTGACCTGTGCACATCCATTCTGTTCTTGTTCGCGGAAGTGGCGATGCATCTCCACCTGTCTTCCGCACTTTCTTCCTCCTAAGCATCATCCATCCACTCAGCATCAGTTACCAAAGGCCCATGTGGCAGTCACTGCAGCTATGGCCACTTCAGATCAGGGCTTCTTAGCCTTAGCATGGAGACACTCTGGACCACATAGTTCTTTGGAGAGTGCCATGTGCACAACAGGATGTTGAATGGCATTAGCTGTCAGGAGCACTGCTTTCCCACCAAAATGCTTACAAGCATGCATCCCTTGGGGTAGAATCGCAATAGAGACTCCCCCAGGTTATCTCCATATCTCTCATCTATTTTTGTTTGTTTTAAATTATTTTAACTTATTTTATTTTTAAAAATTATAATAAATAATCACATCATTTCCTCCTTTCTTTTCTTTCTTCCAGATCCTCCCACTTGCCCCTCCTCATTCTTTTCAGATTCACGGTCTCCCCCATTAAATGTTGTTACATGCTTATATGTACACACACACACACACACACACACACACACACACACAGACAGATATTGCTGGTTTAGTTAAGTAGTGGTTGTAGGTTCTTGTCTAAGATCCATGACTTTCCTAGCCTTGAGTAGTTAGCTAGGTTTCCAGTACCAGGCATGATTTGCCTCCTGTTGAGCAGGTCTTACGTCCAATTAGATAGCTGGTTCCCAACAAGGTATGCATGCCGCTACTGCACCCTTAGGGTTACCAGAGCATGCTGGTCATTGTGGCTCATGGGCCTCATAGCTGGGTGGGACACTAGTTGCTACCTTCCTTTGGAAGCCTGCACGGTGCCTTCTGGTACCTTAAGAGGTGGTCCTCATGAAGGAGGTATTGAATTCAGTTCCAGCTCAGTGGCCTTTGGGCCCTGTGTCTGAAGGGCATGTGTTACCTTCAGCAACACGGACCTTTCATGTCTGGCCTCCCATCTGGGAGTAAGAACTTTTCCCCTTTCCATCTAGGGCCCTAGAAATGAAACCAACAAACAACAGAGTAATGGGATACACATTTTATTTGGTGTTAATATTTTTTTAATGTAATAAAACAGAGTTTATTATTTTTTCCTTATTTATTTATTTAAAGAATTTCCACTTCCTCCCCTCTTCCCAATACCCTCCCGCTCCCCCCACTCCCTCTCCTCCTCCCTCACCATTCCCAAGAGCAGTCAGGGTTTCCTGCCCTGTGGGAAATACAAGTTCCTCCCCCCTCCCTCCAGGTCCAGGAAGGTGAGCATCCAAACAGGCCAGGATCCCAAAAAGTCAGTCCATGCAGACGAAACAAGACCCAGTGCCATTGTCAATGGTTTCTCAGTCAGCCCCCATGTCAGCCACATTCAGAGAATCCGGTTTGATCACATGCTCATTCAGTCCCAGTCCAGCTGGCCTTGGTGAGCTCTCATTCGATCAGTCCCCTTGTATCAGTGGGTGAACGCACCCTTCACGATCCTGACTTCCTTTTTCATGTTCTCCCTCCTTCTGCTCTTCATTTGGACCTTGGGGGCTCAGTCCAGTGCTCCAATGTGGGTCTCCGTCTCTATCTCCATCCATCGTCGGATGAAGGTTCCCTCTGGTTCTGCTTTCCTTGCTCACGATCTCCCTCCCTCTGCTTCTCATTTGGACCTAGGGAGTTAAGTCCAGTGTTCCAATATGTGTCTCTGTCTCTATCTCCATCCTTCGCCATATGAAGGTTCTGTGGTGACATGCAAAATATTCATCAGTATGGTTATGGGCCAAGGCCAGTTCAGGCACCCTCTCCTCTGCTGCCCAGGGAACAATCTGGGGACCTCTCCTTGGGCCTGGGAACCCCTCCAGAATCAAGTCTCTTGCAAACCCTAAAATGGCTCGCTTAGTTGAGATATCAACTTCCCTGCTCCCATATCCATCCTTCCTCCCTCCCCCCTTCCATTCCCCCAAGCCATCCCCAATCCTCCCCTTCTCCCTTTTCTCTAACCATCTCCCCTTACTTCCACCACCTCACCCCTCGTGCACCCAAGTTTGCCTGGCAATCTTGTCTACTTCTAATATCCAAGAGGTTAACTATATGATTTTCTTCAGGTTTACCTTCTTATTTAGCTTCTCTAGGATCACGAATTATAGACTCAAAGACCTTTAACTATGGTTAGAATCCACTTATGAGTGAGTACATACCATATTCCTCTCTGTCAGCCAGAATTTTAAAAATTACATGTAACTGCAGTAATCTGGCTGTTTTTGTCTCCCCAGAAAGACCTGCCTAATTTAAACCCTCCAATAAACTCCCTCTGCCCTCCCATAGTTCAGGAATTTCAAGGTCTTAGACAAACCAATTGATTTGAGAGTGAGGAATAAGATAAGCCTGTTCCCACGCACAATGCCCTGGTGAGGACTGCTCTGGATTCTTCCCGAGTCTC